GCCCCCGCTCGGCAACCTCGGCGGCCTCAGAGGTCTGGCGCGCGTCAAAGCCCGAGCTGGGAGGCTGATTTGTGGAGCATCGCCCCCGAGCTCGCTCCCCGCAGTGCCTCCTCCGCCCACTGCCGAGGCCGGGGGAGTAGAGCTGAGCAGGGGGAGGGGAAGAGCTACACCCATCCCCCTCCTCCAGCCCTCTCCGCGTTCAGATTCAATTGCACCTTTTATTATTTTAACTTTTCTTCCTAGGACGAGCGGCCCGGGATCCGTCCGTCCGGCAGTCGGCACCCCTGCTCCCGCGCCCTGGGATGGGCGCGCGGGGCACCAGCCCACGGTCCGCGGGCCAGCGCGGGGAGGTGCGGCGGCCGCACCCGCTGTCCGGAGTCTGTAAGTTTCTACGCTCCGCCTGGGGAGCGGACCGGGAGGCTGGCTGCGTCCCCGCAAAAGACTGAAAATGCAAAACACAGCTGAGGTTTGCAGTGTTGCAGGGACTTTTCGGGGCACGCTCTTTTAACTCTATCTGCAGCCCGCGGGCTATTTTCCGGGTTTTCCCTGCAGCTTGTATGTTCGCTTCCTTCGTTGCAAAGAAGTTTTCATTTTATAACAGGAGCTCCAATGGAGAGTAATTTTAAATGCAACTCATACTTCTTTCAAAGGTAAAATACTTGTTCATAATTTTCACGTTACATGGCACATCGTTTACTATTTTGTCAAATTACACCAAACGTTATTTATACTGCGCAAGAGGCCACGGCCTTTTCTCTGCCTACTTCTAAAAATAACGAAGGAAGAATTTCCCCTCTCAACTTTTCATATTGCCGTATCATGTAAATACTTCAGTAAATGGATCGCGATACCCAGCTGGCCTTAATTTTTGTTCTAGACGCCGCCACGTGCTTGCCTGCTTGCGCTCATCTCGGAGAATGCTCCTGAGCCTGCTGTTTACAGAAAGCCTCCTAGTTCCCCTTAACTCAGGCTGTACCCATATATGTTCAAAATGATCAGAACTCTTGAAACAGTTCGGGTTCAACCCAAATCATTTCTCTGGAATCCCGGAACTGAAGCACACACTAAATTCGTGTTTAGATGGATAAAATCCTACCTTTAAGCTTTGCATGTCACCTCGAATGGATAGACAGAGCCCTAAATGCGAGGACTGAAGAGGGGAGGAAATGAGGGGAAAGCTTTTAATCACCGTTTCCCTTGCGCAGGAGGACGGGTCTCTAGAGGAGAGGCAGGCCGGAGACAGGTGGGCAGGCGGCCTGTGGTGACGGGACGATGTTGGCCAGAAAGAGCATCATCCCGGAGGAGTATGTGCTGGCGCGCATCGCGGCCGAGAACCTGCGCAAGCCGCGCGTCCGCGACCGCCTGGCCAAAGCCCGCTTCATCGCCAAGAGCGGGGCCTGCAACCTGGCGCACAAGAACATCCGCGAGCAGGGCCGCTTCCTCCAGGACATCTTCACCACCTTGGTAGACCTGAAGTGGCGCCACACGCTGGTCATCTTTACCATGTCGTTCCTCTGCAGCTGGCTGCTCTTCGCCATCATGTGGTGGCTGGTGGCCTTTGCCCATGGGGACATCTATGCTTACATGGAGAAGAGTGGAATGGAGAAAAGTGGCTTGGACTCCGCTGTGTGTGTGACGAATGTCAGGTAAGAGTCAGCGGGATGAAGCAGGGGTCGAAAACAGGATGGGGAAAAGTATGAAACGGCTCTCTTATCACTCCAATTTGATGAAAGTGAAATAAAGGGTTTGCAGAAACAAAAAAAGCAAAAAAGCTGATCTAACATAGTGAAAAAATATTTTTTTAATGCAGTTTTATGGGTGAGGCACCTCTGAAAATGTGAAGCTTCAATCCCCTGAGCTAGCCTTGAAAACCCTATACCAGTTAGTAAAAACTGGTTGTGGCTCAAAGGATTCCACAGAGTGCCTTACTAAAATAAAGAAAGAAAGAAAGAAAAAGCGCACATTTAGTTTTCAGGGTGAAGAAACTGTTGTCCATATTTCCAGTGTTCACAAGTAGATATTTTTGATCAGCAAAAAATATTGTGCAGATGCTAGTAACNTAAAGAAAGAAAAAGCGCACATTTAGTTTTCAGGATGAAGAAACTGTTGTCCATATTTCCAGTGTTGACAAGTAGATATTTTTGATCAGCAAAAAATATTGTGCAGATGCTAGTAATATAGTTCCATGACTTCTCTTGTCCATGGCATTTGTGGAAATAATGAGAAAAACGGGGAAACACTGGTGGGAGGTGTCCTAGATTTAAAATTTGTAAAATGAAATAAATAAACAGAAGCCCCTCTTTAATAAGAACATTTTCAATAGCTGATTGCTTGCATTGGATTCCAAAATTAAAAATTATGCTAAGATTCAGAACTACAAAAAATTAATTTTAATGGAAATTAGTCCAGATTTTTCATGGGAGAGATTATGTAGAAGTGACTTTGTGTTGTGGTTTTCTTCAAAAGTTTTAATAAGATAGGAATAAGACACTTTTTAGATTGCCTAACTTTTGCTTCTTTCTCTTATATGGTATTTCAAAGATAAGTACAGTGAACTTAATTTCAGTAATTCTCCTCTTATATTTTCACATGGCCTAAGAACATTCCGTTGGGGTGATTTGTCTTTTAATTCTTTTTGTTGGAAGATAGAAAGAGATCATTTATATCAATTTCAAAAATATTCACTCAGAAGCAAAACACTAGTAATAATACTAGAAACTTTCCCAGGACATTTTATGAATGCTATTTCAAATTCCTATAATGCCTCAAGCAGAGCAACCTGAGCAAGCACCATGCTGCTAGGATACTGTGAAGAGTGAGACCTTTACTGACCCTGAAATCTTATGAAACTAGCATACCACTGCAAGAAGCAGAAACCTAGACTGTGAACTTGTCCATCCTTCCATTTCTTAAGTGTCAGCAATGCCAGCATGCCAAGGAGGGATTTGTGTGCAGACATCACATGCCACAGATTCCAGCTAGGATTTTGAGGAAAGAAAGCTACCTGGAATTGATCCATTGCTTTTACCATCAAGTATGCATTTTCTTGTCTTAAACTTGTCACAGACTTGTCTCAAAGAAAATAAAGGTGAAAAATTTAGGAGATGATCAGTACATCAGATATAAAGGAAACAATGAAAATAATTGTGTGTAACAGGTATTTGTTGGTTAAATATCATTATTTATATTTCTCTTTAAGAAATTTATTGGCACTTAAGTTGGTGAATCATTTTCATTTTAAGATACATTTTTAATAAATATGCAGTAGACATAAAAAATGAAAATGAAAATGATAAACTTTGAAAAGAGATGACAGATTTTATTTATAAGACAAATACATTGGCTTTTTCCATAAAAAAATAAAAAATAAAAAAATAACTCATTAAGTAATTGGGGGAGATCATCAAAAATAATATCCTTTCAATGATTTTTTTTTAAGAAGAACTTTATAGCACACACTGATTGTTAAAAGCTGCTTTGCTGCTAGTCCCCATTTTCAACAAGATGTGTTCTGGACCATGGCTAGTCCCCTAATGCATTCCTACTGGCGTGAACGTTAAGTTCAGCCTGAGAAACGGTGTGAAAATTACAGTGAGACAAAGTTGGTTTTATCAGCATAACAATGTTAGCATTTTAAATTGCCCCTTTCATCTAAAAAATTATTTGACATCTTTAAGGTTAAAACCTTACAAGTTTTATTTTAATGCTATGATGCTATTTATACTTTAATCTCAACATACAGTTTAATCATAACAAACCATACATACTAAAAAATTGTTACCGAAAATATAGAAACAGAAAATTTTTTATTCTGTCCCAAAGGGGGTTTAAAAGACAACTAATAACATTTATAATTCTTTGCATCTCCTTTCTTTCATAAGTCCATTGTATCACCATATCATCATAATTGGAAACAACTTACTGTGATGCATACTCACCAGTATGTCCAAATAACATTTTACCACTCCCGTTTTAGAATGGCTCACTTTCCTTTCATGTGGGGTAAGTCTCTAATGTGAGTCAGAAAATTAATCAACATATTTCCTCTATTATTCAGCCTAACCTCCTCTGTAGTCAAACAAACAAGCAGCTAAACCCTTTCATATCTTGAGATTGTTCAGCATGACAGGTGTCCATACAGAGGCTGGGTCTTGAGCCACATAATGTTTAGAATTAAGTTATTTCATAAAATAAACAGTATACATAATTAGCCCCTAAATAGCCTCTCAAGCTATTAACCAAAGCTAAATAACCAGACATTTAAAGATAGTCAGCATTAGGCTGCTCCCCGAAGTGGGTATATACTATTAGAAGTCAATGTTGTGTCCATGCCTCTCCACTGGGGTCTACTCTTAGCTGTTGCCATCTTTTCAGATCATATGACATTTTGCATGCAGTTAGTGCAAAAAGCAACTATTGTGGTTTTCCATGAATCTTTTTAGCAACAAAAATGTTGAAAAGGGCAATTTGCATATTCCACTTAAAAGCTAATCAAAAGAATCTCTGTATGCTTGCTTCCTCCTCAAGGTGTCCCACCAAAATGCAGTGTGTATACTCAGTGTTAAGATGTTTAAACATTTTGCTCGCTCTGTGTGTGTGTCAGTGGCAGATAGGTAATACTTTGACGGGTGGCTTATCTTCTCTAAAACTGGAGAAGTTTGAAACTGCAGTTGAGGGAAACACAGGACTAATGTCATTTCTATTAAGAAGCCGCAGCAGCAGTGGATATGTAGTTCAGTGAATAAATTCATGATAATAATAATGAAATGAGGTGCTTCTCAAGCAGGGGAATAAATCAGATCACCTGAGAGCTTTTCAAAAGTCTTACCCAGGTCCACCCTGAATCTACCAAATCAGTGTTTAATTCACAGAGAAATGGAAAAAAAATACACAATTTGCAAAAGCTTCCCAAGAAAATCCTGACGCTTGTTGGCCCTTTCCCTTTGCCCCTTTCAGAACACTAGGCCAGAATTGAGAGGATTTGTGTTCTTATTAATTATATGATCTTGATACAATCATTTATTCATCTCTGCTTTGAATTCTTTCTTTAATAGCATCAGCATTCTCTAGATCACTTACAGAACAAAATACGACAATCAGTAAGAAAACATTTTTCTTTCCAAATGGCAAAACATTCTTTTTTATTAAAAATACTAGTTTTTAAAATAGTAGATTTTGTACCACTTTTTGGCCCTGTGCTTTCAGTGTATGAGGTGCACACTGAGTGTTAGCTCACGAATATAGTTAAAGGTTGTGAATGATAAATACACTCATTACGCAGTACTTTCTTTATGACTGAAGTCACTTAAACACAGACCATGCAATAAATAAGAAACATCCACCTGGTAGAAATTTTCACAAAGTGAACTATGCCTTTGTGAAGGTAAATTATTTCACAAAGTAAAATATGCCTAAAAACATAAATAGGTATATTCATTATTTTAAAGCTTTCACACAAGTATGCCCACTGTTACTTGACCTAGGAAACATTAATAGTATCGTATCCTAGACGTCGGGAGGTAGATACGTGCAGAAAAGAGAGAGAGAACACAAGGGCTTGTGTTTAGAATTAGGCACTTGACAAGTCAGTTGGCTTGTCTTCCCAGAGGCATGTAATAAATAGCCTTTGGAAGAAGAAAATGGCAAATTCAGTTTGGGCATTTCATCACAGAAAAATAATGTTTTTGACATTGGGAAAAAAATTTAGCTTGGTCTGTTATTTCATTATTCCAAATTGGATCGGATGGCATCGCTTTCTGATGTTCTTCCTTCCAGGTCTTTTGCCTCCGCTTTTCTCTTCTCCATCGAGGTGCAAGTGACAATTGGCTTCGGGGGGAGGATGATGACGGAGGAATGCCCCCTGGCCATCACGGTGCTGATTCTTCAGAACATCGTGGGCTTGATCATCAACGCGGTGATGCTGGGCTGCATCTTCATGAAGACGGCGCAGGCGCACCGCAGGGCCGAGACGCTGATCTTCAGCCGCCACGCGGTCATCGCCGTGCGCAACGGCCGGCTGTGCTTCATGTTCCGCGTGGGCGACCTGAGGAAAAGCATGATCATCAGCGCCTCCGTGCGCATCCAGGTGGTCAAGAAAACGACCACCCCCGAAGGCGAGGTGGTGCCCATTCACCAGCTGGACATCCCCGTGGACAACCCCATCGAGAGCAACAACATTTTCCTCGTGGCGCCTTTGATCATCTGCCACGTGATCGACAAGCGCAGCCCCTTGTACGACATCTCAGCGGCCGACCTGGCCACGCAGGACCTGGAGGTCATAGTGATTCTGGAGGGCGTGGTGGAGACCACGGGCATCACCACGCAGGCGAGGACCTCCTACGTCGCCGAGGAGATCCAGTGGGGCCACCGCTTCGTGTCCATCGTCACCGAGGAGGAGGGAGTGTACTCTGTGGACTACTCCAAATTCGGCAACACTGTTAAAGTCGCCGCGCCCCGGTGCAGCGCCCGCGAGCTGGACGAGAAGCCGTCCATCCTCATCCAGACCCTGCAGAAGAGCGAGCTGTCCCACCAGAACTCCCTGAGGAAGCGCAACTCCATGCGCAGGAACAACTCCATGCGCAGGAACAACTCCATCCGCAGGAACAACTCGTCCCTCATGGTGCCCAAGGTGCAGTTCATGACGCCGGAGGGAAACCAGAATGCGTCCGAATCCTGACAGCAACACAGCCCCCAGGAGGAGTTTTCATCAAGTGCTGACGCTTTAGGCTGGGCACTACCACACTGTACCCGAGCTGGAACACAGTAATTTGTCCTTCTACATCTTTTCTTTTTCTTTTTAATATATCTTTATTGACTTCCGAGAGAGGAAAGGAGAGGGGGAGAGAGACAGACAGAAACGTCAGTGATGAGAGAGTCATTGGGGATCCAGCCCGCAACCTGGGCTTGTGCCCTGACCGGGAATCGAACCCCGATCGCCTGGATCCCAGGTGGATGCTCAACCGCTGAGCCACTCCCGGCCGGGCTCCTTCTACATCTTAATGCACTAAATCATATTCATATTCAAGCAACAGCACTTTCTTTATCAATAGAACAGTAACACACAAGGTGGAGGATTCGTGGCTCACACTTGTTTCATACACGTAGTATTTGCGGTGACATGCTTAAGTTATGCATAGAAAACAGTGCGCTCTCATTTCTCTCCATTTGAAGCACAATTATATTAATAGTAATGGACCTTGAATACCAAAGGCGGCCAAGGAATGCTTTTGTTTGAAATGCTCAGTGGGTGAAACCAGGGATCTCTCTGTTGCTATTGTTCACTCTGGAAATACGAATAGAATAGGAGGGGAGAAACAAAATCTTTTTGTGTATCAACCAATATGTTGCCTGTTCCTTTTCTATGATATTGCACCTGGTAACAAGCACGAGGCAAAAACTGCTTAGCCCTCTCTGCTTCTAAGCAGCTTCTGGAAACTCACTGCGCCCTCCCCAGCTCCCCAGCGCCCCAGGGCCCTCCTCAGGGCCACTGGTGGGCAGAACTGGGCAAGGAGCTTAGGGGAAAAGCTAAGAGCGCTCCTGTCTCGTCTCGGGCCTGGGTTCCCAGCGAGGACAGTCGTTTCCTTCACCTTCTCACTTCTTCTTCAGGGCCCCCACAGAGAAATGCTGTATTGAATATTTTATTAAAATATCTTCTTTGTATTCACTGGGGCTGTGTCATTCTTTTTTCACAAAATTATCCCTGGTTAAATATCAAGGGGAAAACAATTTTAGAGGCATGTGAAAGAGATCATACAGTGATAACACCTCTGAGTCCCCTCCCCCCCCCTCAGGTTCCCTCCCTCAGAGATTGTTGTCCTAAGAAAATGACACTTTTTGTTCCATTTTTTATTTCATTTCATTCCAAGTTTTAAAATGTTCTCTAGGCTTTTCTATCTGAGCCTGATGTGTCATGGAATCCTGTAACTTTTTTCTTTCTACCCTCCCACCTCCCATCTTAAAACTACAGCTCCCTCCTGGAAATATCTGAATTCGGTCCCGGCACATATAGATTTAGCTTTATCTCAATTGCTAAAGTGAGATTTTTCTATCAAAGCTGTATTTAATCATCCTTAGCTCCTGCATCTTCAAGGGAGGGGTAAGGGCACAGAGACAAGTGCCAAGCTAATAAATTACGAGTTTATTCTTTCTTAATTCTTATATTCCATATGAGTCAATATCAGAAAGCTGAGCTCTTGAGTAGCTTTTTATACAGATTTTTTATTTTGTATTTATCTCTATGAACAGTGAAATAGGAGGGTTATCAAATATATATTCAAATCCTGTCTTAAACAAAAGCCTTGTAAGTATAACCTGAAGAATGGAAATTATTTATCGGGTCACTGAGTTCATCATTTCTGAGGACTTCTAACCACTCCTTGGAACTTCAGACTCATACATCAAACAGGTACTTGATGCTCCACTTGGATACTTAATACCCATTTAAAACTTATGGTGTCAAAAACCAAATGCTTCATTTTCGGAAACAAAGCCTTCTTCCTCTCACCAGCCTTTCTCCCAATCACTCAGGCCAACATCTGGGAGTCATACATGACACCTTTCTTTCATACCACACATGCCATCCATTAGCAAAATCTGTTAGGTCTACTTTCCAAATTTGTCCAAAGCATGACTTATTCTCTCTACCTCTCCCACTTCTTCCTTAGTCCAAGCTGGGTGCTCACCACCCAGTATATATGAATGCAGCTGTATCAGTTGTTAAAATATTGAAACATTTCTGTAGAGGTTGCTAAAGAAAAACCTATCTTAATAAAACTTCACCCAACAGTGACCACGGAGGTAGATGACAGACCCCTGCAGCTCTGGTACGGATGCAGGACCTCCACCGCCACCCCAGGGCAGGTGAGCAGTCCCAAGGCAGCCGCCACGCCAGCAACAGGAGCATGTGCAGCGCCTGCCTGCTGCTGTGGCAGCCCAGCGTCTGTGGGGGTGACACAGGCTTCAGGGAAGGCAATGTTGGGACACAGTAGGGCTGAGATGCAGGATTTCCGAGTCCAGGTGGTACAGAATGCCCTGGCACCCAAGGGCAAATCTAACTGTAGAACATGGGCGGTTCCCTAGCTACCTTCCAGCTGCAAACAAAGGCTGAGTGCCAAGGACCTGACGACTCTCCATTTAATGGGAAAGTCAGTGGGAGAGTTTGATGGGGCCCCTTTGTGTCAAGGCATGGCTCAGGGACATTATTTAGCTAGTGACAGCCACATCAAACAAAAGATAACATTAATAGTTTCTAAAAGCTAACATCAATTGTTGTAGAGAATTACTATGATTTCCGAACCTGTTTTTGCTAAAATATGTTTAACTGGCTAAGGAGATTTAGGAACTACATAGTTTAGTTTTATAAAATAAGACTCTAATATATGTGTGTATAATTTTGACATGTGTTGAATTTTATTAAATATTTAGATTCTCTGCTTCTACTTTAGTCTTCATACAACAGCCACAATATTTTTATTAAATTTATTGGAGTGACATTGGTTGATAAAATTATATATGTTTCAAGTGTACAATTCTATAATACATCATAAACCATATTACTCTGCTTAATACCCCCCAATGGCTTTCTATTTTTCTAACAATGAGAATCAAAATTCTTCCCAAAGCCCACAAGCCATTCTCCTCAATCATTCCCACTCTGTGCCACACTGGCCTTGCTGTTCTTTGAAACAGAGCTGTACATGCTTTTATATCAGGGGTTGCTTCTACCTGGAGAACTTTCCCCAGAAAGGCTCGTGGGTCTCTCCTGTCATTTAGGTCTCTGCTCAAGTGCCATCTCATGAGAAATACAGTATAGTAGTTAAGAAAATGGACTCTGCAGCCAGACTCACTTGGTTTAAATTTCAATTTCAACACAGCATCTGTGAGGTCTTGACAAAATTAATTTTTTTTTCTGGCTAAGAAAGAATTCAGAGTCAAGACTGAAACTATAAGAGAAAGTTAATTTAGAAAGTCACAGAGGCAGAAGTGAACTGTAGAAGAAATGGGCTCAGGAAACAAGCTACAGAGGCACAAGGATGGCCCTTGGAGCTTAGGAGAAAGAGAGAAGCAAGGAAAATGCACCTGAGGAAAAGGGGTGGGGCAAGGGGTGGGTGTGCTCCATAGAGAAGGCACCAATTAATTTCTTTGCACGTAATTTTCCTCATACATAAAATCAGAATGATTATAATATGTACCTACCTCATAAGTTGTAAAGATTAAGTAAAGGCTTAAAAGCTTTTCATTCATTTGCCCAGTACAAAGGCTTGAAATGACTGCCTTGAAATTAATTGTATTCTTAGAAAATGACTAATTCAATGCATTACCCTTGCTCTCTAGGACAGAGACAAAGGAGCTTTGCACCATGAATCTGATCTCTTAAACACTACAGCAGAGATCTTATATCTGCCCACTCCCTGTTGCTTTTCCTGATTCCTTGACACCTGCCATTTGCTTGTTGTCAAATAGTGTAATGTGTGAAACACTACAATGTGTAAAGGGAAACACACACACAGAAGATAACTTTTGTTCCGCATGTCTATCATTTATTTATTCATCCAGTAGTACATATTGGGCATCTACCATGTCTGACAAGTATCCTCTGGCAAAAGTAACTGGGTATGTTCTCTTTAAGAAGAAGCAGAACTTTTTAGGCAATGTGGATGCTGATTCTGCTCCCAAGTAATCTGAAATGAAAGGTATAAGGAGAGGAAAACTGTGCCAGAATCGCAGAAGACACACTTTCACCTCAAAGTGAAAATCAAGACCTATCCCTGCTTACTGAGCAGGAATGGGAAAAGTGTCAGACCCAGAGCTGTTACACATATAGCATTCCAGAGAGCTGGGTGAGAGAATAGAACGTTGTTCATTCTCAGAACTTTCTTTTTTTCCCTGATTTACCTTCTCCCAATACCACAGATTCATTCTATAATTCTCCATCATGTGCCACATGACTCAAGACTTTCTCTGAGTAAAGCTCCTGTTGCCTTTGCCTGCAGACATTTCTAAATACACCTGGCCAAGTGTTCTGACTTATCAGTGTTTCAGAACCACAGTGACAAAAAACTGACCTCAGTTCCCAGAGAAAGTCTCACTCCCAGAGAAGTTATTAGCCACTCAGTGAACATGGGACAGCATTTCTTCCCCTCCATTGCTTAGAATCATTTTCTTGTTGTTGTTTAAAGATTTGGCATTTATGGAGCAAGGAGTTTCCTCTTTGATAGTAAATCAATTATAGATAAAGAAAGAATGAAAAGATATCTATCTTTTGGGGTTCCCACCCCCAACTTTTGTCATTTTTAGCATGTTGAAGGTAGAGGCAGAACTGAAATTAGTGTCTCCAAGGACCAGTGCATTAAAATAACCATAACAAATCGGACAGGCTGTTTAAGAGCAAACCCAAGGGCCGTGCTCTTCCCATGATCTTTATGCACAATTCTCATCAATGGTGATGGGAATTTCCTCACAGTTTTTGGAAGGAAGTAACTCTAATTACACCCCTTTGATAACCTACTGAACAAATTCAAGTTTAAGCTCATGAAAATCTTAATCAGCCTTTAACTTCAGATCAAAATATCACATTGAAGGTCAATTTTATTTTAGATTACTTATGTCTACATTAGTGTTCTTTTGCAATTGTTGCCATTGTTGTCACAGTTCTCCTGAAGATTTTCTTGTCTGTACTGTATGATATCCTCTGGGGTAACTAAATGAAACTATTACTTTGTTTATTTTAATCATGTGAGAAAACATAAAAATATTAAGGCTGAATTTTGGCATACTATTGAATTACTTCAGTTTGTTTTGAATAAACATTGAGAAGGTACAGGGTAAAAT